GATATCGACTACAATCATTGAATGAGATGAATCGCGTCACAATACTACGATCTTTCCCCCTAACGGTTCCTAGCGTACGGCTCAACCAGATCCGTTTAATCTCTCTCTTGCCTTCTCACCTTGGCACGTTATTACCATCATAGTCACGAATAATTCCCTCACGTTCCTCAAGTGCAAGGTCGAAGAAATTCACTGGAGCTAAAAACGGTGCGCTTAAAGAGCCTGAACCATGAATTTCAGGAACAAAGCAAAACCAATTACACATTTTTTTTATATTTCACAATAATTTCTTTGGCCTGATTACATTTCGAAAGTGACATTCGCTTGAGTTTTGTCCTATCGAAGTGTAACAGTGAATTCATGCGCGTCCACGTTCAATGCAGAAATTAGAAAGTTCTGGTGGATCCTCTGAATATTTTTTCCGGTGATTTTCCACAGATCTGGAAAATTGATTTCCGCAAATCAGGGAGATTGAGATATTAGCACTGGTATTCTACTTTTCCTCTAGCTGATGGGAACCGTTTAATTTCAATTTTGCTGACGTCACGAATTTTTCTACAATGATCAAATGAAAAGAATAGAAATGGCGTTTGTTCTAGGCTTTCACTCGGATAATGTTAGAAAATTTTCAACAACAACAAAGTTACATGGAATTGATGTGTATTTCATCGCTGGTGAATGAGTTAATTTCTTGAATATTCAAGGATTTCTCAATTTCCGGGTCTATACACTGTTAAAAATTTTCGTCTGAAATTTCCGTGCCAAAATCCGTAAATTTTTATTGTGTTCAAGTTCCACTGAAATTTTAGCAAATCTTGTCATTGAAAAATCAAATATTCCATCGATTTTTTGTTCAATTGATCTGGAAATCAAGAAAATACTTGTATACTATCCCTTGAGCTAGTTTCACTTGAAAAAAAAAAGAAAATACTTGATTTTTCATTCAGATATTCTCTGAAAATTCAGAAAAATCAGGAAAGTTCAGGGAAAAATTGAAAATGCATGTCATTTTGTTTCTGAATATTCATGTTCCACTGAAAATTCACTCCCACAGAAAACTCATGAATTTCCGCGAATTCTACTTAATACTTGAAATTTCATAACCATTTTTTCCTTAAATTCGATTCAACGTCACTCTCATGAAATTTACTATAATATCTTCCATGAAATTTAAAAAAATTTCCAACAGTTGAAACTTGGATAAATTCAGGGAGCAGTTGTTCTGAATTTTCAATGTATTGAAAACTCAATTTGTTTGAATTTCCAAGAAAATTGAAAAATTTCATGACCAATTTCATGTCCAATAAAATTTGAGGTATATCCCAAGATAATCGGACTTAAAAGTTAGCCCGTATGGATTTCTGAAACAATTCTAAATAACTGAATTTATTGCATTCTCATAGTTATTGAGTTTTTCTATACTCATGTGTTGATCCAGACAACAATAACTGCTTGAATCAACTAAAAATTAATTTATCAATTAATTTTTCGAATCAAATATGGAATGCTTTCACGAATTTTCAGTAGTAATACTACTAGTGCTTCAAAATTATCGGATATTTTCCGATAGCTTCGTTGCCTAGGAACGATTGTGTCAAATTTTGCAGGTTTAAAATCTCAAGTGCGAATCACGAGGGATTTTTCTGCAACATTTGACACACTCGTTCCTAGACAGGGAAGCTTGAGGAAAATATCCGATTAATTTTGAAGCACGAGTGGTATTTGACGGATTATTTTTCCACTTGGATTTCAGCCAAGAAAAATGCAGTGAACAGCATCCGGATACATTTACACAGCCATACATTTACAACCCACTTTTTTATTTATCTGTCACACAGAATATTAAACGTGAAATACGTTGAAAGATGAGAAACATTTGAAAAGCTACTAGTGAATTTCCGTCGGAAATTTTTTAGAAATTTCCGAAATAAAACTGTTTGACAGCCTCAAATACTGCGCTCTGATTGGCTGAAATCCGAATGAGAAAAATAATCATGATACAATAAGAATGTACAATTTTGTATTCAGCACGCGTGGGATTTGAACCCACAGCATTGAGAGTGCGAGACGCATGCTCTTAACAATGAGCTATCAGGTGCCACGATAAATGCATTCTTTTATTATCCTTTTCACAACATTGAGCGGGGAAAGTCTCGAATCGCCTTGGTGTGAGAGGAGTGGGGGGTCCCTCGATGCATAAGTGCGCCATAAGAAGGGCCCGGTTGCGCACGCAAACCATCACACAATGGTGAAGAGTGGGGCACTGTGAACCTGTTCAATAGGTTAAGGTTGCTCCTCTACGGCTTCCAAAATAGTGATGAAAGTTGAAAAAAGTATAAAGAGAAAAGAATTTTTGATTTTTAGAGACATCATTGATTTTCATGAATTTTTCACCAATTATTGGTGATACAGGACACTGATTTCCATGATCTTGATTATTAGTGATTTTGATCACTCAAATTTGCTGATGGATTTATCAAAAAATTTGAGATGGGCACCTGAAAATTAGTGACATGTTACAAAAAATTGGTCACAAAATAACTGAATTTCAAAATTTTGCACTGATTGAATTTCAGAATTGTAAATCCATAACAGTTGAGGATAAATTCCTAAAAATTATTGACATGCCCTTTAAAATCAAGATTTTTTTCTCTGGGTACTGAATTTAATTTTTATTTTCATTTTCATTTCAAAAGAATTTCCGTAGAAATATCACTTGTAAAAAATTTGCGGAATTTTTGAAGATCTGAGCAAAAATTTCTCACTGCGTAAAATTATGCAGTATAGGTATTCATGTTTATAATGAAACTTCGCATAAAACAAGGAATTCTCGTCCTTCCCGTGTTCAGAAATGTAAAAGTTCATTATTGAATTTTCAAAATTGAAAATTTCATGATTTTGCTTCCGAATGAAAGCATTGTAGTTATCAAATCCGAAATTTTCTATTTTTTGTGGCAAAGTTAACTAATTTTGGCCTCAGAAGTTCGAATATGCTATGTATGTGACTTTAAATGACTCCAATTGGGATTTAATATATTCTTTCCAATACCATTCTGACCGAGTGCGATCATAAGATTGACTGCATCCTCTATGGCTGAAAAAAATTATTTTCCAAGCAATATTCTGCGAAAGAAAACATTCTAATGTTCACGAGGAGAAATTCTTTATAAAAATGCCAGGGCTGGTACTGAAAAAAAATTTAATCCATCGGCTATGAAAAATTCTAGTGCTGTTAAGGGGTAACGGAAGCGGTCGTAAAAGTTTCCGGGGATTTCTGTGAAAATTTCGTATAAAGATGGGAAAAATTCACTTGCTACTCAATCAAATTTTCAGTGCTGGCACTGGAATTTTCCCTGGCCGTCACTTTGCGCCTTTTTTCACGTGCTAGCATTAGAATTTTTCTAGAGAATTTCTCTCCGTGTTGAGACAATGTTGGCGATCAACGTTGGGACAACGTTGGCTACTGACAGAAAGGATTAGTTATTGTTAACGAATGGATTTGATTGGCGACGAGGGTCTATTCAGTCTCACCAAATGTTCATTCGTTAATAGTTTAGAAATGCACATTTAAAGAGCCTTTTAAGAGAACCATTCGTTAACTATTAACGAATATTCATTTGGTCATATTCAACTCTACCATTCGTTAATAGTTAACAAATCTCGTTTGGAATAAAAGAATCAGTCTATCAGTGCGCCAACGTTGGGGCAATGTTGAGCCCAATGAATCATTGAATTTAATTCAAAATACATCGTCATAGAAATTCCATTCGAAAGAAAATTGCTAATTTATTGGCAAAAATATATTGACTATGTTCACAACAAAAACGAATCTCTGAATTTCACACACATTTTGTAGACATTTTTCAGACACTAAAAGACGTTTGAACCAAATGAAAATTTATCTCAATTTCAATTATAAATCCAGATGTTTATGCATCTGTTCGTATGAAATTCAGACAATTTTTCATTTTATTCAGAGGTTTTGTAGTGTTTGAAAAATGTCTACAAAAGGTGCGTAAAATTCCGACATTCGTTTTTGCTGTGTTGTGACGGAAGCAATTTCCCACTTATTTTCCGTCTAAATCGAATTCCCTTAGGATTTTTCTAGAATTTGAAATTTTTCCCTAGCCACACCTTACTCCATTAGACGTATGGAAGTGGTAACATGAACTCATTATGTCAGTTAATTTTTCTCGCGACAACAATTAAGATTCAAAAAAGTTAAAAGCTAACACTGAGAAAAAAATTTATTCCTTCCAAGAAAATGTTATTGGTGATATCTTTTTCATACTCTTAGTAGAAGAAAATATCTCTTTTGGAACGTATTTCTCCAGGCCAGTCATTTCCAGGTGCTCCGAAATCAGTTCCAAGCGTGAGAATTATGGTGATCTATAAGAATATTCTTCTGCATATGACCTCGAAGAAACTCCAATAATAATTATTAACATTTGGAATTATTCCAATTTTCTTTACCTGAGAAAATCGCCAATTTGTAAAATCCGGAAGATATCGGAGAACATTTTGTCAAGGTCATATGTAGCATAATAATCAGATTGTTCAACATCACTGTAATTTTTGAGGATAGACTTGGACTCTCTGAAAATGACTGTCCTGGAAAAATTCGTTCTGAAAAAATATTATCTTCTGACGAGAATATCAATCCTTGGCAGGAATAATTTTTTCTCTCAGTGAAAGGCTGAGGACGTAGTTACTAAGGTATCATAAGCTGTTGTTATATTTTGTTAAAAATATATCTTATATATATAAATTTATCGAGAAATCTTTATTAAATTAAATTAAATGAATCGGATTCAATGTCGCTCGTTTCGATCACTCATTCGTCAAATTCACTTTTTTAGAAACGATATTATAATGAAGTGTTGAATGAATCCTGAAAACTTTCCCTCAAGTGAAACCGAGAGCATAAAAATGGACAGTTGCAATAGCAAACAGTTAAAATAGCAAAAATAATGAAATTCAATTCTTTTCGTCATTTCAGAATGGCGAGGAGGTCTTGGTTTACGGCGATCCTCGTGTTGGCGTTGCTGTTCGTCACGTCTGATTGCCTCCGTGGACCTGCCACTAACGTAAGCAGACATTTCAAATTGTCGATAATACATAGGTTATTACCCCAGAGAAAAACCTATCACGAAATTAAATATGCTTATTGAGTGGCATTTCGAAATTCGTCGTGCCCAGGGGTTCGAATTTCCGTGAAACCATCGGAAATCTCAGTTGAATTATTGAATAGCGTAATAATGTGGTGATGAGAGGGCGATTGAAGGAACGGAAGTCATTACAATGTATGCTTGGATGGGCACTTTTGCATGTTATTGCTGCGATGCTTGCCAACACTTGGATGTTCACTGAATAATTTTGAATTGCATCGGTCAGGCTTATGATAATCATTGTGGAACTTTTTCAGAAATTTTTCTCATGGAACATGATTGACAAATTTGATTGTCAACAATATCTCTGAATCACTTTCCACAGTCAATAAGAAAATAATTTGAAACCGTGCCAAGGCACTTATTTTACTGTCAACGAAAAAAATTTCAAATACTGTCAAAATAAGATTTCACTCCTGTGTGGTCAACTGAATTGATTTTTTCAAACTCCGAACAATAAGTGACAGGAGGAGCTGATACATTGACGTTGGAATTTCCGTGACAGGGGTCTTTTGACCGCAAAGCCGATCATTTCAACACAAATTATATACTTCGGCATATATCTGACAAATATATGCGCCGAGAGAAAAATCTCCTAATATGTAAATCATATTTACTTGAGAGAAGTAAATTATTTTCAATTACTTAAATCTCAGAATGTTCGCGCTGCACGGAACTCGAGTAGATTCACATTTTCACTATCTTTCCCCGTTACATGATGAATATTGTTGCGTATTTACCCTTTTTCTCCCTCAACCAACTTCATGTACCATCGTCTCTTTGTCGATCATCATTCTTTTATCTTAGCTCTTTCACTCTTTTCACCCCATTTTATTTAATAAACGAATTTATTATTTAAACGGTGTCGTATTTTACAATATATTACATATCGAAACAAGGGAAGTGCATTAAAAAAATCATGCAAACAATGAATAATTGAAAATAGACTATTCTTCTACGCGATTTGAGTGAGTCGATTTACGACAAAGTCATACGTAAGTACAAGACCATTTTAAAGCATCAGACGTTTTTCGGGCCACGTGAGTTGAGGTGCATGGGAGAATTAAGCGATTGAGGAAAAATTACTTGTCGCATAAAAATATCTTTTAGATACTAACAATTCGTTTTCTCAGTGTGCGGGAATGAATATTCGTCGCTTAAAATTTTTAACTTAAATTTCGGTACATCCTTAAGGGGAGACTACTATGAGTTTTAAAAGTGGCGGGTTATTGGAGTGAGATTTTTCATGCATTGAAGATCGATTATATATGTCTAAAAACAAATAATTTGTGCAAAATAGTATATTTCGTAACGAGTGCAAAAAAGTGTTTTTTGGGGAGTGGGAGGTTTATATCACGAGCCGAAGGCGAGTGATATAATCCCACGAGCTAAAAAACATTTTTTCACGAGTTACGAACAATATTTTTCATCACAATGTGGCGGAAATTGGACTTTTAGGCACGCGGAGCGTGCCGAAAAGTTCACTTTTCGTCACAGCGTGATGAAAAAATTAATTGTTCATTGTTCGTTTACCCCGCAGACGCTTAAAATGTTAAAAATTGTGCAGGGTCTTCAATTTTTGAAATACAGAAGTCTTATTCTGATTTTTGAAAAAATGTGTACAATAACAATTATAAATTATTTTTTCGAAATTCGACTCCAACACAGTCAATTTCGTTTTGGTTAAAATAAAAATTTGCACTATTCATGTAAAATAGGCAGAAAAATTATTCTTAAAATATTAAAAATATTTTTTCAATTCTTGCAGAAACATTTTTCGGGCTATTTTACATAAATGGTGGAATTTTTATTTAAAAAAATAACGAAATAGCTGTGTCGGAGTTGAATTTCAAAAAACTAATTCGTAATTGTTATCGCGCACATTTTTTCAAAAATTTTGAAATAATACCTCTAGCCCAAAAATTGGAGGCTCTGGTCATTATTTATCTATTTTTAATATTTTAAGTGTCTGCGGGGCAAACGAATAATGAACAATTAATTTTTTTGCGAATGATATGAGGAAAATATATGAGAAATCTCATTCCAATAGCCCGCGACTTTTGAAATTCACAGTAGTCTCCCCTTAAATTTTTGATCAAGTGCTAGTTTCACTGAAAGTTCAAGGAATTTCGTGATTAAAAATTGAAAATCTGATGATAAAATCAACCGAAATTGTGAATTTAAGTTCGATTATTCCATGAAAATTGAAAGAAATCGAAAAATTTCAGAGAATTGACGGTAATTCGGTACTGAATAGTCGTTTTAATTGACAATTCATGTAAATGGGGGAATTCTGTTCTTCCTGCTGCTCAAAAAATTTGAATTTTATTGAATTTTTAGTGAAATTGGAAGTTTTCTCATTTTTTTCCAATAAAACAAACAATATGTCACTCCTCTAAAAATGACTAGTCGACTCTCCATGAAATTTCCATTTTCATAAATATTGATCAGGATGAATGAAATAAATCTTCCCAGGAGAGAAGAAATACGCAACAATACGTATGTGTGTGTGAAGTCATGAAATTTTTTAAAAATTCTTTCAATAGGGGATTAACGGAATTTCATGAATTTTCTTTAAAGATATAAACTTTAATAAACTCTCTTCCTTAACACCAATTGAAATTCAATTTTTCATAGAGTTTTGAAAATATTTTTTTTTAATGGAAATGGAATTAATCATGGCTTACAAAATTAATTTCGACAGCCTCTTGTTAATTTCTAATTCAGCCGGAAAAAGCAATCTGAGAGACTTTGGGACTCAATTTATCATTCACCTTTTGATTATAAAATTACGTCGGCAATAAATCGTGCTTAGAGAAATCGTTAGATGACTCTGTTTGGAGAAATTTTGATGGGCTACTAAAAACATCTCCTCACACTCTCCTCCAAAGATTTGGTTTTGGAAATATTTGAAAAATAATCGTTATGAAACTCAGAAACTTTTCCTCTTGCTCCACTCCGCTTCAGGAGAGAGTAATGTTCTGTGCGTCGTTCGTCTTATTAGCGCTATTCATCTCGACTTTTTTAGATTTTCGTTCCTTGATGCTCCTACTTGGATTTTATTTGATGGGTGCTATTGCAGCCTCATGCAGTTTCCATGCAAAACTGTGTCATGATTTTATCACTTTGATAGTTACAGTTCCTTCGCATGTTGAGTTTACTCAGTATCTTTGTCTTCATCCGATCTGATGGATCTTTTATGGTCCATTGGAACAGAATGTGGGTCATATGAAGCGTAATTAATCTTTCTAGTTTCTCCTGTTTTGAAAAAAATTGAGCTTTTAACTATTTATTTAATTATAGTAGCAGTCTAAAAAAAGGACCAAAGAACTTTTGGAAATGCGTGGGAAGAATCTGAGAGTGGTGATAGGACTTCTTACAAGCCACGCAACACTCAGAACAAACCTGTTTAAAGTAAATCTTGCAGAAGAAGAAAACTATCCTTTATGAGTGCCCCCTATTATCACTTCGTCGCTATAAAATTTGGGCCCAGGCTTTCATGCCTGGGCCTGAACCAGAAGACAGGGTTGCAACTCGTGGACTGAATAAATAAAGGCGGATGTTACAAAAGATCATGATTTACGTGACTCTGGGCCACATATTGACCAGCCGCATATATATCTAATCTAATCTAACTATAGTAAACGGTTAAAAAATGTTTGGTGGAAATTTTCGGGGTACTTTTCGGAGATTTTCATCTCATTATAATTCCAGTGAAATTTAAAAAATTTTGAAATTGAAAACTCGTAACTTTATTGCAAAATCAATCGAAAGTGTAAATTTTAGTTCAATTATTCCATAAAAATTGATAGAAATCAGGAAAGTTCAGGTTAATATATTTTTGAATTTTCGAATAATTGAAGATTTAGTGTAATTTGGTACTGAATATTCATGTTTTGATTAAAAATTCAAGTAGGTTGAGGGATTCTCGTCTTCCTGCTGCTTAAAAATCGAAATTTCATTGATTTTTCAATGAATCTGAAATCTGACTCTCCTGAAAATTACCACTGAACTGTCCATGACATTTCGATGTTTTTTAACATTGCGGATCAGTATGATAATGAAGTGATAAAACTGAATTGCGCTTCCATTGCCTTTCAAGATTATTTATAGGCCAATATCCTCGATTTTAAGAGAGAAATTTTAGTGAAAGTGTCACTTGATGAAAATTTCCACAAAGCTTAATGAAAATTGAACCCTAAATTTTTTGACTGTAAAGGCTCTTCCGAGGGTTTCAGATCTTCAGCAAAGAAATTACCTTTCAAGTCCACTTGTCTGATTGTACTATTTCATTACTGGAATCACTCAATTATAGTTATAATAATAATTAAAGTTAAATTCCGAGAAAATAAAAGAATATTCTCCACATCTTCTTACACTATTAAAAATTTTCATCTGAATTTTCCGTGTCAAATTTCGGAAATTTTTATCGTGGTCAAGTTCTAAAAATTCCGTGACAGTTCCGTAAAATTTCCTACAATCACATTTCGCTCCGGAATTACGGAAAAGATACGTAATTTTTATCGGAATTTTCTCTCCGTGTGTGAAAATTCAAGGAAAAATTGAAAATTCATGTCATTTTGTTTCTGAATATTCATGTTCCACTGGGAATTCAATCAAGTTCTGAAATTTCCATCTCACTCCCACTGAGAACTCATGAATTTCCGTGAATTCTACTTAAAACTTGAAATTTCATAACCATTTTTTCCCTAAATTCGATTCAATGTTACTCTCATGAGATTTACTACAATATCTTCCATGAAATTTAAAAAAAAATTCTAGCAATATGGTCACATTCATAGGATAGGATAGTTTATTAATTGACTAGGCAAAATACAGTCGACGATCTCTTCAGGATTACTCCAGAGAACAGAATGATGACAGATCCAGATTACAGTCGTATCTCCACAAGCTTCACA